TGATTTTATTACAAAGGCAAGCAACATATTGTTAAAAATGGGTAAAAATAAGTATTTGTCTGAGGACTTACGCAACAGAGTTATAGAGTTAAAAAATAGAGGTGTTAAACAGTGTACAATTGCCAAATCATTAATGATTTCAGAAGGAGCAGTTTCGAAATTTTTAAAAAAGTACCGAACATTGGGAGCTACAACTAACTGACCAAAATCGGGCCGTCCCCGAAAAACCACCCCTTTTATAGAAAAATCCATTAAAAAGATTTCTCTAGCAGACCCACACAAATCTTCCCGGCAAATAAAAGAGGAAATATGTGACAATTTCAATATCAATGTTACTGATCGCACCGTGAGACGACGCTTGTGTGAGGTAGGACTTCTGGGAAGAGTGGCCGTTAAAAAACCTTTGCTCTCAAAAAGAAATCGGAAGAACAGAATTCGGTTTGCTCAAAACCATTTAAATTGGACATCTCAAAATTGGAACACAGTTCTTTGGAGTGATGAAAGTGAATTTAAAATATTTGGTTCTGATGGTAGATCATTTGTGAGAAGGCCAGTAGGTAAAAAATATGATGCAAAGTACCAGAAGCCAACAGTAAAGCATGGTGGTGGTAGTGTTATGATCTGGGGGTGCTTTTCACGAGCTGGGGTTGGTCCGCTAGTAAAGATAGAGGAAAAAATGGATCGCTTTATGTAAAGGGACATTCTGCAAAATAACATGTTACCATTTGCCGAAGAAGAGATGCCCCTAATATGGAGATTCCAGCAGGACAATGATCCCAAACACGTCTCACGATTGGTAAAAAATTGGTTTTTGGAGGCAAACGTGGATGTTTTGGAATGGCCTTCTCAGTCGCCAGACTTAAACCCAATTGAACACCTTTGGGAGCCTTTCGAAAGAAAAATTCGATTAAGGGCTATTCACAATGCGACAGATTTGTGGGAGATACTCCAAGATGAATGGCAGAACATTCCTTTGGAAATTTGTCAAAACCTTGTGGATTCCATGCCAAGAAGATGTAAAGCAGTCCTTTAGGCCAAAGGTTCTAAAGACATTTTACGCAACTAAATATTAGATTAGATTTTAGGATTTGTTTCTTTATAAAATTATCTTTCCATACTTTTGTCCATAGTAATTTTTATGTTTTTTAGTAAAAGAAAAATAAGAAATTATTTTTGAAAATTAAAACTAAATATCCATAAATTACAAAACGTTGTTTCATTTAATATATTTAAAATTAGTTTAAAAAGAAAGTTACACAAAATATTTTAGAAAAAAAAATCTTTCCATACTTATGTCCACCACTGTATATACGTTTTTTTATTTTTACTTTTTTAATGTTTGCATAATTATTAAAGTAAAATACAGAAAGAGAGAGAGAGAGAGAAAGAGAAATAAAAAAAATACTTTATATTATACCTACACATATTTTCTTTGTTTGATTTGTTTTCTTTTATTTTTAATTTTAATAATACATAGTGATAACATATAAAAATATTATACATATTATTAAAAACATATTATTCAGTACTTGAATACCGAGTATTGAAATTATCCTATTAAGTCCTTACACTAGAAGAAAGTAGAAACCAGTACCACAAATTACAGTACCTTCCGCAATAGGTTAAACCTTCCCTTATAGGTTAAACCAAGCACGCAACGAAGATCGCCGCGCACAATAGGTAACGAAATTCCAAGTCAAGCCCAAGTCTTTCAACCTGTATACAAAACAACGATTATAAAGTAATGATACTAAGTACCAAAATAACAAATAACTAAAGTAACTAAAGTAACGAGTCCTATTTTAGAAATAACTCGATTAAAGATCGTGTCATACAACATATTTTGGATTTGCTTGGAGACAGTGAAACAAGTGCACCTTTAAGTTCGCGTAATGCAAAGCGTGCTAGATTGAATGAAACTAAAAATTCCACTACATATAAAGGTGTTTCTTTTAGGGAAACAATGGAATCACTGATGGACGATACCAGTGACAGCGAAGAAGATGACGTTCAAAATGACCAGAATCCTGTTCATCTTTTAATCCGTAGAATGCTTACAGAATACTTAGCGGAAAGACGCGTAGCAAATGACGTTGACCCTTTAGCTTGGTGGAAAGTGAACAAGCAGAAGTACGGGCTTATTTCTCCTATAGCAAAGCATTATTTAGTCACACCAAAAACGAGTATCCCGAGCGCACGCGTGTTCAGTGGTGCTGGCCTTATTTATACACCGCATCGAAACAGACTTGAAGGAGAAAAAGCATCGAAGCTTTTATTTCTGAAGTTTAATATTCCTCTTCTAAAGTTTGATTATTAACTGTTTTTCGTAAAATAATTAAGATAAAGGATAAAGTGTTTGTTTACTTTTTTGAAAGAGGTTTAAGATTTGTTTTTTTGTTCTTATAGAAGTTTTTATTTTTTAATCTAAATTTTTATCACAATAATGTGGCAACACTGGCACGAAGTGTAATAGAAGTAATATTTTAATCGTGGAGTAAATTTTTGAGTTTTTTGTGGTCCCTAGTTGTGATAAATTGAATAAAGTGTTACAGATAGTTCACACAAGTAAGCCTTCATTCTTTAAATACAAAAGTGCATATTTATATCTATTAAACATCTTTAAAAATACAATTTTGTTGTAAAAAGCCACGCCGCGGTCATTAGCATTGGACTTTGACCATAGTTTACACAGAATAACAATACATATTTGACCCAGTTTTGGAAAAGTATAGCGGCTCGACGTTGCCAATTGCAAATTAATTTAATTGAATAACAGATTAAATTAATGATTAATTAATTATTATTATTTTAATTTAATGATTCACTCACAATCCTAAAAAATGGCAGATATGATCATTTACAAACAATTTGAAGAAATAAAATATTTAATACAAAACAGTAAACAAAAATTAAAAGAGGATATAAAAACGGTCAGAGGGGATTTATTAATTCAGACGGAAGTTTTAAAGGAGAATATTACTATAATACAGAGTAAATTGAACGAATTAGAATGCAGAATACAAACACTAGAAAAACTGGCTAGGAAAAACAACTTAATAATATTTGGGCTTAGGGACCACAAAAACTTAAGAGATATTGAATTAGCTAATTGGGTAATTAATCAACTAAAGAGTCTGTTAGGAATAGATATATATTTAAACGATATAAACAATATATATTACTTGGGAAACGACACAAATAAGCCATTGCGCATAGAGTTAAATTCGTATCTAAAAAAGGCCTTAATTCTCCGAAACGCCTATAAACTGAAAGGGAAGCAGATTTTCATTGACCACGACCTCTCCAAGAAGGAAAGAGTGGTCAAAAATGTACTTAACCAAAACTTGAAAGAAGCAAAGAAAAAAGGGTTAAGGGCTTACATTAAAAGTCCTTGTGATAGGGGACGAAAGTTACAATTACGAGCAACTGGTGGAGAGGGGAAATATAGGTAACGAATCAGATAGCGAAGTGTTCACCGATACTCCAACTAGACCATCTCTAAGTGCTCCGAGTACACCCATTAGTAAACTACCTGTTCATCCTAGTGGTATAGATCGTCACAAACAAGAAACATACCATTCCGTACCAGAAGCTAAACCGACCAATACTTTTGAATTTACTATTGCTCCAAAAACATCTACTGCGCAAGTGCGCAGGGGATCACATAGCCATATAACAACATCCCTACAGTCAACAAGCAAAGGACAAAGACCAACAACCAGAAGTCACACGAAGCCGGTATAATAATCATAATATCATCAAGGATAAAAAGACAATGCTTGTGCGCGAACAAAGTCTATCTCATATTTATACGAGTAGTACATTGGTGCGCCCGTCTGTGCTCGGCTATGTTCTCATGTTTTTTTGCAAACTTTTAAAATTTTATAACGGTTTTATCTTTAATCTGATTGATATAAGCATATTCGCGATTTACTTACTATGTGCAATTAAGACTTTTACTTAAAAAATTTAATATGTTGTTTATTATTATTATTTATTAAATTATATGTTCATTAAGACAGTATATTATGTCTATAAGAATGTATAGTAGTTAGATTATCGTGTATTTTCTAGTATAGTGCATTATATATTACAATCAGGTTTGACTCATCTAAAAAAAATACTGATATTTCTGATTAATTATATTATAGTGATATATTTTCGTTCTTATATTTATTATTTGTTCTAGTATTAAAAATATTGTGAGTGTATTGTAAAACAAAAACTATATTTCATCTCTTATTTCTTTTGTAAACCGTAGGTGTTTTGATATGGGACAGATTGTAGGTTAAATATTTAAAGGCATACTATATAAAATTGAGTGAATTCATATATTCCGGACTACCTCTGTGTGGTGAAGGTTGATTTATATTGGGATACTGAACAGTGGTACTAATAAAATATTATGTTCGTTGAATGCTTAACAAAATACTAGATATAGGTGATAAAAAGGCATTGAAAGTTGATAAGTAATTGTTCATAGAAATTTTGAATTGTGCCTAATTATTACTTAAAAAAGGGAAGGGAGGCTTGATATGTAATAACCGAAATAGATCAACTTATACTTAGCAGAATGTGATACATAGAAACTTATATATAAGCAATAATAATATTAAAAATAAAATATTATGTAATTTTAGAACGTGCCATCTGCCCTATGTCTTAATTATTTATGCGGTATAAGGTGCTTTTTATAGGGGTTTTTTTGCGTGCATTAGTGTGGATGTGAAATAATTAATTTTATACTTTTAGATATTATTTTAGAATGATGGATATAATAACTTTGTACTTATTATTGTAGTAATGAAACCTCAGACAAGGATTTGCCTTAAGAGGATTCTATGTTTATTTTCTATTGGATATGAAGTGTTATATACTTTGTAATTGCTTATTTTGAATAAACATTTATTATTATTATTATTATTTCATTCCATTCTCTTCTCGCCTTCTTAATTGGCGGTAATAGGTGAATCCGGGTCTCAACAAGAGACCTAAGGTATTCACCCTAACACCTTTCGGAGTATGTGTGCTGTTCCCAGCAAAGCTATCTTCTGTACTTCGTTCGTTGATGGATGGCCAGGTATAAGTTTGATGAAATTACTATGACCTTTAGTAAGCATACCCAGTGCACCAACTACTACTGGGACTACTTTCGACTTCGTGTTCCACATTCTGCTGATTTCAATTTCAAGATCTTTATACTTGCTGATCTTCTCTGCTTCTTTCGCTGATATGTTGTTGTCGTCTGGAACAGACATGTCGATCAGGAGGCAGATACTGTTTTTCTTGTCATGGAATACCAGGTCCGGCCTGTTGGCTAATATTGTTCGGTCTGTGATAATTGGCACATCCCATAGGACTACAGTGTCGTTTATATTTAGAACTTTCTCGGGAACGTGTTCATAATACTTGTCCTGCACCTGTACACCTAACTCTCTGCATATAATCCAATGTATGTATGCTGCAACCTTGTTATGTCTATGGGTGTATTCTGTCGGAGCAAGTGTGGAGCATCCAGCTACCAGATGGCTGATATGTTCTTCCGCTCTATTGCACATTCTACATTTGCTGTCTATAGATTGTTTTAGGATGTTTTTCTGATAATATCTGGTCTTAAGTGCTTGATCCTGAGCGGCGATGATGAGACTCTCTGTTTCTCCTTTAAGTCCCGAACTTCTTAACCATGCTGTACTTCCTTCCCGATCGACTGTCGGTTTATGTAGATTTCGGTAGAATTGTCCATGCAAACGCTTTTGTTCTAAACTCTCTATTTTATTTCGTTCTATACTATGTTTTAAATTTTCAATATTTTGTGTAGTTGTTTCTTGTTTAGAGAATTTGGCTAGGATATTGATAGCTTCTTTTTGAATAGAGTATTTCGCCTTCTTTTCATCGTGGGTTGCTATTGCCTTGCAGTATTTATCTCTGTTAAGAGCGATATAGTTGCTCAGACTTGTGATAGCAGAGTTGAAAGCCGACTCAATTTCTATTAACCCTCGTCCACCATTTCGTCGTTTAATATACAGCCTATGCACATCGGCCTTTGGGTGATGTAAGCCACTTATAGTGAGAAGCTTCCTAGTTTTGCAATCCACTTTTCCAAGCTCGCTTCTTGGCCAATCAACAATACCAAAACTATAGGTCATGAGCGGAACAGCTAATGTGTTAATCGCTTTTATTTTATTCGTTGCGTTTAATTCTGTACCTAATATCTTCCTTACTCGCCGGTAGTATTCTTTTGAGATTTTTGTCTTCATTTTATTGTTATCTATCCCGTCCATTTCTTCAACCCCTAGGTACTTGTAAGACTCACCAATATCTAGATTTCTGATCGATGTTTTTTCGTCTAATTTTACATTATCTATCTTAATTAGCTTGCCACCTTTATATATTGCCGTAGCACACTTATCAAGTCCGAACGCCATTCTGATGTCATCACTGAATTCCTTGACTGTTGAGAGTGCTAGTCGTAATTGGCTTTCATCTTTTGTGAACAACTTCAGGTCGTCCATGTAAAATAGGTGACTTATTTCGGTACTATCGTCTAGCTTAAAACCTATATTTTGACTATTTAACATGTTGGTAAGCGGAATCAATGCCATGCAGAATAGCAGTGGGGAGAGGGAGTCTCCCTGGAATATCCCTCTTTTGATTTTAATGGGCTCTGTTTGAATATGGCCTTCTTCATAGAATAATAGCATCTCGGTTTTCCAAGTTTGCATCGATTTATTAATGAATTGGGATATGGTTGGATTAATGCCACATAGCTGCATCATGGTTGATATCCAAGAATGTGGTACACTGTCGAATGCTTTCTTATAATCTATCCATGCCAGGCCCAGTCCACGCATTCGTTTTTTCGCAGTAGATACCACCATTTTACTCAGTAACAATTGGTCCTTGCAACCTCTCGAAGCTCTTCGACATCCTTTCTGTTCATCTGGAAGAATTTTATGTGCAATTAAATGGGAGTATATGCGGTTCGTAATGGCTGCTGTCAATACTTTGAATATAGTAGGTAGGCAGGTTATCGGCCGATAATTTTTCGGATCTTTGGTGTCTTTTCCTTTAGAGAGTAAGAATGTATTACCGGTGGTAAGCCATTGTGGTGCATTATTAGGATTCTTGATAGTTTCGTTTATAGCATTTGTTAGGTCTGCATGCAGCGAGGTAAACTGCTTTAGCCAAACATTTTGTAGTTTGTCTGGTCCAGGTGCTTTCCAGTTATTTAATTTTTTAATGACTGTTGCTATTTCTTCCGTAGTGAAGTCCTGCCAAGAATCTGACTTGATATGTTGGTATTTCTCTCTTTCTGCTCTTATCCATAATGCGTTTTCATTATGTATCACCTCGTTCTCTAGAATTCCTCGCCAAAACTCTTCAATTTGTTGTTGGGTAGGCGGATGTTTAATTACATTGTTTTCATTGTTTAGTTGTCGGTAGAATTTCTTTGTATCTTCGTTAAACATTTTGTTGTGATGGTAATGATTACTCCTTTTCGTATACCTCCTAAGCCGTTGTGCTTTGGCCTGAAGCTTCATCTTTATGGTTTGTTCTATCTCTGTAATGCATTTGTCCTTTCGGTACTTTTGTATTAGCGTATCAACTTTCTTTTGTACTTGAGCTGTCGTAACTCCCTTTTTGTATTCAACAATGATAGATATTTCCTGTCTCAGTTCTTCAATAGTTTTCTTTATCCTCATCTTCCAGGCTGGTTCCTTTGACTTGTGCTTTGCTTTAGGCTCACATCTTTCTTTTATTTCACCAGCTATAACACTCGCTGCAGCATACATAATGTTATTAATATCGGTAAGATTTAATTGTTGGTCACCTTTTAACATCTTAATAGCATTATTGGCTTGCATAATCTGTTGTCTTACCCTCTGTGTTAATTTTATCTTCTTTATTCGTTTTCGCTCTTTCAAGAAAAGAAATGAATACTTTTTTGTTTAATTTACCTAATATTGTTTTCACATTCTGTATTTTTCTTTCAAGTTCATATTCGCAAAATATTCAAAGATATTTGCGAATGCGAATGCGAATATCATAAATCAAATGAACATTCGCGAATGCGAATGAGAATGCGAATATTCGTTACATCACTACTCGGTATATAAAAGGCTATAGACAATATTTATTTTTCTAGGCTTCCCTAGCTGGGCCAGCACAAAGTATTTTTGAGAGAATGTTAAAAGGACCTGGCATATAAAAGTACAATCCTCTACTACGATACTTCGCGTTAACATTATCGTTTTATTCGCCAAAAGCGTAACATTTTGTCACATTTAATAAAAGTTTACCACATTTAGGGACGATTTCGAGATGGTACAGATCTGTTGATGGCAGCCCAGGGTTTTCTCAGGAAGCATTAAATGCCTTAATTTTAAAACAAAAGAATTCGTCGTGGCCCATACTATGTAATATAGTTTTAGATGAGATATCCATACGGAAACAAGTCGAATAGACAGGGACTAAGTTTATTGGATATGTGAACTTAGGAACTGAAATAGACAGCAACAGTTTACCAGAAGCTAGAGAGGCCTTGGTATTCATGTTAGTTAGTCTTAATTCTTTTTGGAAAATTCCGGTGGGCTACTTCTTAATCGATGGGTTGTCAGCAACAGAAAAAGCAGAATTAGTAAAGAAATGTTTAGAATTTATTTATGAAAGTCAGGTAATTGTCACTTCATTAACTTTTGATGGCGCAGCATCAAATATTTCAATGTGCGAAAAACTAGGAGCTAAATTTTCTAACCCGCTTGATTTGCAAGCAAAATTCCACCACCCTGTAACAAACTATCCCGTTTTTATTTATTTTGATCCATGTCACATGATCAAACTTGTTAGGAACTGTTTAGCTAGCCAAGCGGAAATTATTGACATGAATAATAAACATATAAAATGGAGTTACATTACTCACGTTACTCATTAGTAAAAACAAAACTTGGAAGGGCTACATGCTGCCACGAAAATAAAAGTAAGACACTTTCAGTGGCAAAGAGAAAATGAAAGCGTGACTGGCAGTTCAAACAATCAGTAAAAGTGTAAGTGACGCTCTAACTTTCCTTAGAAACGATTTAAAGAGCTTATCTTTCAAGCCTCGGAAGCCACCTCTAAATTTCTTTTAACGTTTAACAATATTTTTGACATTTTTAACTCTCGGAATAGATTTACCAAGTATTCTTATAAAAAACGATTATCAAAAATAAATGAACAACATACTTTTGAAAATTTTGAAATAATTAAATCTTATATTATTGGACTTACCTTAAAAGGAAGGCCAATCTTAGAGTCGCAAAGAAAAACGGGACTTGTATGCGGATCCTAAATAGTATGGAGAGCTTACAATCTATGTATAGATACTATGTCAAAGAAAAACAATTATTAAAATATATTTTAACTTACAAACTCTCACAGGATCACCGTGAATTATTTTTGGAGCTATGGGGAGTAAAGGAGGGCATAATACGAGCCCTAACAACTATATGTTGGGACAAGGTCATATTTTGGAATTATTGCCCTGGTTTTTCAAAATGACTGAAAAATATATGTTTAATTTTTTAAATATAAACATAGCCATATATCCTAAACAACTTGACAATATTTTTATGAATTTGTAAATCAATCCATATTTACAGTAGCGGATTTTGTTCATAAAAGAACAAATTTGTTGATAACTAAATGTTGGAACAAGTATTTTTAAATAATTAATATCATCATAGGCGGCTTATCTACAAACGTCACAAATGTCGCAAACTGGTTACTTCAGCATTGACAGCTTGTAAGTGACTGGATACTTTGAGTAGTGAGATTTATTGTAAGTAATTTTAATTTTTTTAATTTCCAATTTTGTTAATTTATTTCAAAGTAATGGTCCGTGGAAAAGCTACAAATCAAAAACTACGCGAAATTATCATTCGTCAATACAGTACGGGAAGAACAATTCGAAAAATTTCTGATGATTTAAGTATTCCAAAGACCACGGTCTTTAATATAATAAAAAAAAACGGCGAATCTGCCAATGTAGACGTTAGAGGTAAAAGTACGGGAAGGCCAAAAGTTGTACCTCAGAGAGATTTACGAAATTTAGTAAAAATTGCAAGTCTGCGAGAAGAAGTATTCTTCGCGAAGTAACAGTTAAATGGAATACTGTAACTGGTTTAAATATATCAAGAGAATGTTACCGAAAATATATCCATAAATGCGGTCTGGGGTTTTACAAGGTAAACTTTATTTTGTGTGAATAATCAATTACCTGAAGATTATTGATACAAATTCTTATTTAGGCCAAAGAAAAACCGCTACTGACAGAAATTCAAAAGAAAAATCGCTACAATTGGGAAAAATCTAAATTATCGTGGACACAAAATGAATGGAATAAGGTCATATTTAGCGATGAATCTAAACTTGCGTTGGAGATCATCGAAAACGAATAATACGAAATAAAGCAGAAGCCTTTCATAAAGATTGCCTAAAGAGGGTTGTTAAATTTCCTAAGGGGATTATGGTTTGGGGTTGCATTGCAGCAAGAAGTTTGGGCAAATTAAATTTTATAGATGACACTGTTAACGCCCAAAAATATCAACATATACTTGAGACCTCACTTTTGTCTAGTGCTCAAGAGTTGTTTCCAAACGAAGACTATATTTTTCAACGAGATGGAGCATCAGCAAAGTGCCATTCAGCAAAATCAACTAAAAATTGGTTCGGTAATAATAATATAAAAGTTCTATCCTATCCTGCAAATAGTCCGGACATCGATGTTATAGAAACTGTGTGGCATAAAATGAACCAATATTTAAGAAACCACCCTCAACGAACAATTTTTGATTTGCGGACAAAACTGCAGGAAATTTGGGATAATTTTTCTCCTCAATTGTGCCAATCTTTGGTAAATACAATGCCATTAAGAGTTCAGGCAGTTGTTAAGGTGAAAGGTGATGTAACACCGTATTAAACAAATTTCTTGTTGTGCTGTCCCAATATATAGTTGTCAGCAAGTTTGGCTTGATTTTGGCAAAATAAACTATTATCAAAAGTTGTTGCATAGTTATAAAAATATAGTAAAATTGTCTAGATCATATTGTAATGTTTGAATAATAAACGAAATAAATGGAGTCGGTTTAACAAATTACTATTTTTATTGCAAAAAAAGACCTTGTCCCAACATATAGTTGTTAGGACTCGTAATAATCCTACAGCTAGGCAGTTCGAGGCGGCTTATGAAAGGTTATTGGTCCACTCGGAAAATAGGGCACCTAAAACTGGAAACGCCATAGCTTTGGATTCCATTCCAATATTAACATACGGATCAGAACCTAGGGTTTTAAAAACAGAAATGGGGGGATTCGAAGTAAAAAAAGAATACAAAAACGATTTAAAATCAATTGAAGATAATATTAAGGAAAATTATTTGATGTCGGATGCATGGAACCTCACTTGTTATGTAGAAGATGTTGTATCTTATATATAGGGTCATAAGGGTTGTTCGGGTCTCACCAATCCCGAATTCAACAAACAAGCATCATTGTGGAATAAATCAAAGGCGACCACTTGGACATGCCAACCCTGCATGGACGAAACACTTCTACAATCTGGTAGAAGAACAAACACGAAAACAAAATCTCGTCGTTCCATCGGCCCTGGGGCTGCTCTTCCCGAGGATGTTCCTGAGAACGACCAAATTTCACTTCGGGATATTATGAACAAATTATTACAGATTGAATCTCAATATTCGGATCTCCTTTCCAAATATAACGAACAAATTAAAATAAACGCTGAACTCAATACAGAAATCGCAGAAATCAAATGTCAACTTTCCGCTTGTAACGGTCCTGCTGCCACGTCCTCGGCTTCGATGGCAACAGATGATTTGTTGAGAGAACTTCACGACCGGGAAAAGAGAAGAGGGAACTTTATCATATTTGGACAACCAGATTCTAACTCTGAATCCATAAGCGATCAAGACAAAGTTACTGCACTGAATGTATTGAATTCTACACTACCAAATAACAGCGTTGATCCAGTCAGCATCAGGACCTTTCGTCTTGGAAAATTTGCCCAGAATAAATCACGCCCTATAAAGGTGATTTGTGGTTCTCAAATTTCTCAGAGAGTACTCTCAAATTCTAAGATTCTGAGGAACACACCAAACTTATCCAGTCTATCAATCAGCTCCGACAAGACACCCAAGCAACTCCAAGAATACAGAGAAACTAAACAACGCCTCATTGATAGACTAGCAGCCGGAGAATCCAATCTAAAAATTAAATATGTTAATGGCAGTCCAAGGATCGTTAGTGTGGACGTGAATCATTTAAACTTCAGGGAACGCAAATAATCAGTCCGGCTTAAACATCGCCTACCAAAATGTTCGTGGGTTGAACACTAAGACTCATGAATTCTACAAGTCTATATCTGTGTGTGAACACCACATTATAGCAATTTCTGAAACCTGGTTGCAGTCTGGTCTGAATGATGCTGAGCTTATTGACACCAACTACAATTTGTATCGTAAGGATCGCAATCTGGAAGTCTTGAATGTTACCAGAGGCGGTGGAGTTTTGCTGGCAGTCCGAAGTTATCTCAATTCGACCGTATTGGACCTGTCCATTTTTGAAGATGCGCTGCCGGCTCTCGACATTGTTGGGGTGAGTGTTGCGGGTGATGGGGGTGTTCTGTATATGTTTGCAGTTTACTTTCAGCCTAACACTTCAGTTGAGCATTTTCGTGTATTTTTTGATGTTTTTGAGTCCTTAACATTTCTCTATGGACGCGACATAATCTTATTAGGCGATTTCAATATTCATTTTTCAGATTCACCTACTGAAACTTGTCAAAAACTTCAGATTTTAAACGATTTTCT